TTATAGCTTCTTCTCTGGCTGGCTCGCTGACCATTCTCCAACTGCAATGGAAACACTTCATTAAATACCATGAAAATTAACTGTTTTGAGTTTGCAGCATTACCTGTGCCAAATACCCTAATGTGAAAATACTTAGAATATTCATTAGAACCTTATTACCACTCAGTTCAAGCTTGATACATCATAAAATGCAAGAAACTACAATGAAAATATCATATTAAGTACTGAGTATTTCTTGGTAATTTTAACTAAGTCTTCATGTTTCCATAATTAATACTCCCAGACCATCAGTACAGGCTGAAAAGTGCATTTTCTGGTCAACCCTATCAACCATATATCACTGGCAGCATAAATGATTGTTCAGCATTTTAAGCCAAAAAAAAGTGGCCTGTAGCTAAACATGTACATTTATAGCAATAAAAAAATGTAAATAAAAGAAATTAAAAACATAAACATCTATAATCATCATTAATTTACAAGCAAATATATATGTACTATATACTGATGAAAGCAGATTCTGTGACCTTCAGAGCACAGGGATATTTTCATAATAGAGGGAGGCATTCAAAAGTTTCCAAATGGTTCACTGCCATTTCTTTACATTTCCCTTGATTAATTTCTAAATCTATATTGTCCATTATAAATAAAATGCTGTAGTGCATAATATAACATAGAAAAAATCCTATAAAAATTCTTTAAAATACTTTAAAAGGATGCTGTGTTTATTATCACTTCCAAACCTGCCAAACAGTGGAATTGACATCGTAATACATGATAAAGGAATTGTAGAAGAAAATAAAGGTAAGAAGGAAGGTAAAAAAAAAAAGAAGCAGGAAGAGAAGAATCCAGGGAATGTGACAAGGGAACTATGGAAGGAAGTGAAGTATCAGGAAGAACATGAGGAGGAGAACGATCTGGAGGACACTGTTGTGACAAAGGAGTCACGTGAGTAACCAGATACTCCAAACTCTACCATGTCCTTAGTGCCTACCCCACCTTCTCACTTTACCTGTTGCACCTAATATTCTCCTACACCCACCTCTTCCCTTGGATATGTCTCCTCTTCTCCTCATAAGAATTTGACTGGGGAGAGAGGGAGTAGAGGTAGGATGATCAGTGGTATGGGGAAGAGATACTAAGACATCTTAGAAAGAAGGGAGAGGAGTGGAACAAAGGACAGGGCTGGAACAGATAGAGAGAGAACCTCATCAATGTGCTTCCTGTTTGGCCTCACGGAGAGTAAGGCCTAGTTTGAGTTTTAAGAACTGCTACTTTATACTCATCAGAGAGCCCATGAGGGGTAAGGACCAAGTGGCTAACCAAGGAATTGACACAAAGCCAGCCTTTCATCCTTTCAGCATGGCTCTTACACCTTAGAAAGTGGACAGAAGGTTTTGAAGAAGAGAAGGAAAAGGAAAGGGGGAGAAGAAAAGACCATGCAAAATTAGTTAAGCTGAGGCCCAAGGTAGGAGTTATCTCCGACATTAGGCCTTGGTCCCTGTCTCCTATTCACCCTCCTCCCCAGAAAACAAAGGGCATGGGATTGGGAAGTTATATAAAAGAAACAAAAAAGGCTAAATAAGGCGCAGTTTTATGATGATAATCTTTAATACTAAAGTTACAAACTATCAAGAATCTTTGACACATGTAATTTTCCATTACTTTTTCCAAAGTCAGCTAATGAATTGTAACAAATACATATATGTATTTTTCATAAATAAGTATCCTTTCATGTTATGTTACTATATATTTAAACTTTTCCATTTTTTCTTATATATATATATATATATATATATATATATATATATATATATATATATATATATATATAAGACAAAGACATCAACCTTCTGAGTGCATATTTTTTTTACACATGATACAATGAGAAACACTTTCTAGCACCGTTGTTGCATAGTGGAACTTTACACGTTGTACACAACCACCTGGTTCTATGTGGCTTTTTCTTTGTGCTGCAATGACTGCAGCGTCTAAAATTGGGTCCAAATTCTGGCATATGTTTTGACTGGTCTAAGCGAATTTCCTTGGGGATGATTTCTTTATGCCTACGGTGTTTCTCCACAGGCCGCTTTTCTTTTTTCACTTCTTCCATTCCATGCGCTCCAATCAAACCGGCAATGAGTCTTCCTCTGAAAGCCTTGAGGTCAATATTTTCTTGTGGTACTAAATGCTTGTAAATTATAAATGCATTTACAACAGCAACGTCAATATAGTGAAAAAAAATTCTATGCCACCATTTTTTTGATTTGTGATCAATTTCATATAAAGACTTTAGCATATTTGCTTTACTAACATAGCTCTTATGACGTCTATAATCAGCCACAACGACAGGTACACCAACTTTCACCTTGCTGCCATTGTTATTGCGGTGAGTAATTTGGGTTGTCAATGACGGATTGTGCATGTTCGACAGAATCAGCACAGCTCTATCATCCATCCATTTTGTGCATGATACACCAGATGGATCCATAGCCCAATCAGCTTGGCCTCGAGTCAGCTGCTTATCGTGTAACAACACCGGGATTTTTCTTCTATTTTGATGAATCGTTCCACAATAGCCTATTCCTTTCTCGAGCAGCTCTTTTGCCACAGATACCGATGAAAAAAATGATCTGCGTAAATTTGGTACCCTTTGTCTATCAGCGAGTCTGTTAATTTGTGAAGAACTTTTCCCCCTTGTTTTCCGTCTTTCCCACAAAATATTTCAGCTTGACAAATATAACCATTACTATCAGCCCTTACCCACACTTTATATCCTCTTTTTAGGGGCTTCAGCGGCATAAACTGCTTGGTGTTCCTGGCCTTGAATTTAATCACACAATCACCAATTGCCTGGATTTGGCTTGGATTGTAACAGGTTTGGAACTGTTGGTTAAGATGATCAATTAGAGGTCTTATTCTACAAAGCCTATCATAATTCGGATCACTTTTGAAAGGCATTTTACTCATGTGAAGATTTGCTAAAAACCAAATAAACCGGTCACGTTGCATAGCATTTGTTATATAGTGATCTCTAAAGCATGGATTTGTTGACCAGTAATCTTGATAGGATGGCTGTTTTTTTATGCCCATCAATATATTTATTCCTAAAAAGATCTTTAACTCTGCAACAGTTGTTTGCTTGAAGGGTTTCCCCTTTTGAAGAGCATAAAGATTTGTTTGACGCACAATATATCCTAATATTTCCAAGCCGATAAGTCTATCAAAAACAGCTGACGGAGTTACTTCTGTCAAGTCTGTCATATATGATGATGGGCCAGGCTGTTCACCTAGAAAATGGGCTGAATTTACATCATATATCTGTTTCTTCCATTTTGGCTGAAAATCCAATTTACATGCTGTTGGTTCCTCTGGTGCTTCATACTGACTGTCATCTTCATCTTCTCTACAGTCTTCATCATCTGTAAGATGTTACAGGAAATGTAGCTTGTTCATTTTCATGTTGAATATGTATAATTTTCATATAAGGCCCTGATTTCTAAAATCTTAAAGCTTTTATATGAATCCCAATTTAGTAATTCAAATGTTGATTATACTAATTCTGTGATCACTTTATCATCTGAATTATTGTTTTTGAATCATAGTTTGTTCATTTAAATAAAAAATATGTAATATTTGTACCTTTATAATTTGTACAACTACATTTTGTTCATTTACAAGAATACATACAGTCTTTAAATTGCATCACCAGTTGAAAGATTATCTATGAAACTGTTTCTATGTTATGAATATATTTAAATCTTTAAAAATCATAATCACATTCTTAAAGGCCAATATACCCACCTGACAGTATATGATCATCAACTAAATTTTCATCGTCTGATATATCGTCCTCTTCAGAACTCGATATATCCTGCACTACTGTCTGAGTGAGAAATGAGTCATCATCAATATTCTTAGGTCCATTACTCTGGAATATTACCGTATAACATTTTAGTTGAAGAACACCTAGATTTTCAAGTTTGAATCTAGCAAGTGGAGGAGGAGGAGGAGGAGGAGGAGGAGGAGGAGGAGGAGGAGGAGGAGGAGGAGGAGGAGGAGGAGGAGGAGGGAGGAGGAGGAGGAGGAGGAGGAGAGGAGAGGAGGAGGAGGAGGAGGAGGAGGAGAAGGGAGGAAGGAGAGGAGGAGGAGGGAGAGGAAGATGAGAAGGAGAAGGAGGAGGGAGAGGAGGATAAGGAGAAGGAGAAGGAAAAGGAGGAGGAGGAGGAGCAGAGGGAGGAGGGAGAGGAGGATGGGAAGGAGAAGGAGGATGGAGAGGAGGATGAGAAGGAGGAGGAGGAGGGAGAGGAGGATGAGAAGAAGGAGGACTGAGCAACATAAACTAGGAATCCATAAATAAAACAAAAATATAAAAATTATGAAGTTAAGAACAGATCATATTTGTAAACCAGGGACCTACTGTATGTGTGCTTTTATTAGGGTTCGTACACTTTTCCATGACTGTCCAGACAGCTTCTGGCATTTTTCTATGACCCTTTTCAGTTTTCCTTGAACATTTTATGCATACTCACAATACATATATCCCATTACAACATATACAATGACAGTAATGCCAAATATATATCAAATATAAAAGAGTTAAGTAATGACTTGTGTGTGTGCTTTATTGACACCAATGACCAGTTGCTTATATACCCTCTGCAACTGTGACGGCTATAGCCCTCATGACATAACACCCTATGCTGAGTAAACGCAACTTGACTGACAGTGGGTGGGCCGGCTATATACAGCTTAGGCCCAGTCACATCACACTGTTGCGTAATATCATATCACAAACAAATCAGGCTCCATCACCATAGGAATAATAGATCAGCATGTATTAATTTAGGCTATGTAGTATTTCAGTTTGCTCAATCTTTCAAAGTTTATTTTGATTTCTCTCTGAAGACTTAAAATACAAATTGGAAAAAAAATCCAAGTCAGACTTTTAATTTCTTTAATGACACATATACTAAATGATTTTCTAAATGATATCTAAATGATTTTCTATATTTGCAAACAAAATTCCATGATATTCCAGCTCTGAAAATTTCAATTTCAATTTCCAGTCTTAGAAAGCCTCAGACAAATTCTACAGCAGTCCTTGCATTTGTCTAAGAAAATTCTTTGGCCTTTCACGAATACTGCTCCAGGTATTTACAACACAGTTTTAAGGATGCTTTAGTAGAAGTATCATAATAAGTAATAACTGTTTCTCAGAAATTTAAACCACTCATGCGGAATGTTCTCAATCTCAGTATTTGACAAAGAGAGACCTTTCAAGGTATTTTGCCTATTTTTTTGTTTTCATTTTTACTTCTCCCCCCCTAAGAATTTCTCCTGTCCTGCAAATTCTACTGTTCAACTGAGGATGGCTTATAATGCCTGGGTCTAAGATGCATCCAAACTTACCTGATAAGAGGTTCACATCTGACTAAATTCTTTAAGCCATATTTAGATACTTGCCTGACATGATATTGAAGCATCATCTCTGCCATCACTTTCTTCCTTAACTCCGATACTGTGTTCCGAGTCATAATACTCTATTGGTTCTGTAAACAACGAGTCCTTCATTATGATTTTGTTTACTGCTATATCTTAGGGGCCCTAATTCATGAAAGCAAAATAATGCTTGACAAGTTAGTGCATTGTATACATCTGCAAAATATCAAAACCAAAATATACATAAGAAAATATATAGTCTCAGCCATCACTAACTCAACCATCACAAGATCTGAATCCTAAATAAATAAATCAAAATTTCAAAATACTCCATTCTTTACTTTTTCATAGTCAAAGACTTACCATCTTTTACTTCAAATTTACATTCTATTTCATCAAATTCTTCATCATTTTCAGCCTTCACATCAAAGTCCTGAAATAATGATAAAAGGATAAAAATATTTTTAAAATATTGTGAAAACACACACACACACGAGAGAGAGAGAGAGATGAGAGAGAGAGAGAGAGAGAGAGAGAGAGAGAGAGAGAGAGAGAGAGAGAGAGAGAGAGAGAGAGAGAGAGAGAGAGAGAGAGAGAGAGAGAGAGAGAGAGAGAGAGAGAGAGAGAGAGAGAGAGAGAGAGAGAGAGAGAGAGAGAGAGAGAGAGAGAAGAGAGAGAGAGAGAGAGAGAGAGAGAGAGAGAGAGAGAAAACTTAAATGGAGTGAAGGAAAGAAAGAAAAAGAGATATATGAAGAGAAACAGTGAAAGAGAAAAAGATCAAGAGAGGAATTGAAAGAGAATGAGAATGAGAAAAGGATAGAAAGAGAGAAAGAGAGGTAGCCGTTACCTCACTCACTGACTGCTTTGCTAAGATAGTTAATTAGTTACAATGACATGCACAACATCTAACATTATACAAGTAATCCTGACACCCAAAACTGTGAAGCACAACTCTTTAGAAGACATAGCATCCATAACCTAAATCCATTCTGGCGAGTGTAGCTCAGCAATTTTCAAGAGGACACTATACAATCGGTGTGTAATGAAGGATTCCTATAAAATTCATGACATATTACATTTGTCACATTGCTGACACATCTTTTCCTCTGGGATAAAGAATAAGTTCCCCGCTAAAACAGTTCCGCATATATTCCTATGGCTTCCATACCTGCATTAGTTTTGGCTGCTCCATACACAATTTACTCGATACATCTTCACTGCATAACCCTTCTTTCACCCATATTGTGTTTGATGGCATATCTGTATCCTCATCACTTTCAGGATCTTCAACTTCAAGTCCTCTTTCATGGCATCCAGTGACTGCAAATAATGAGAAGATAATTATGTTTAATTGTTGGAAATAATGGCAATAGTGATACAACAGTAATAGTAATGGCAATGGAATGGTGATGGTAATTCTGCTAATACTAATACTAATAATAATGATAATAATCAAACTAATAATAACAATAGTATTGATAACAATAATGATGATGATAAAATCAATATTAATATTATTATTGATCATAATAATAACATAAATAATAATAATAATAATAATAATAATAATAATAATAACAATGATAATAATCATAATCATCATCAGTATCTATGGTTGCTTCCACACTTGCCATACAACTGCCTCCCAGTCTTGTTCATGTCTCTAATTTCATGTGAATGACCACAATAGTATAGAATAGAAATCTTTATGAATGGCTTTGTAGTATCTCCAAAACACTCTTTAAAAAAGTTTGTTTAAAGAGTTCTTCTAGAAGTTCAACAGATTGCTATATCCCTATAGACATGGCAAGGTTAAAAATTCCTACACAGATATTTGCATAAATGTAATGAAAATGTAGTCTCTTTACACGTTTATAGAGTTTTACCTATAAGATATTTAACTTTCTTCTTATCAACTTGCAAAGGACGTGGCATTAAAGAGAAGTGTATTCAATTTTTTCATTTTATCTATTAGAGGTAAAGTTTTCTTTGTACAACACAGGTATGGAAAATGAACTATTCATAATCTTTCAGGATAACAAGGATCAAAATTGATTCTAT